CTTGGACAGAGACGGAAGATAATAGAGATTATTTTTGAGTGCTCCCTGAAGTAGTGGCATCCCCGTATGCACATCCTTCACAAAAAAACGATCAGAAAAGAACTCAACTGAGACACGATTAGTGTGACATAATTGAGAGACAGATAAAAGATTATTTTGGAGAGAGGGAACACATAAAACATTAGAGAGGGTAAGGGACTGAGAAGGTGTAGATAAAGTGGAACGGCCAGTGTGAGAGATCGCTAAATTCTTACCATCACCCAAGCGAATTTCATCCGGTCCACCATACTCCATGAGGGAGCTGAGCGCATGAGGATCATGAGCAACGTGATGAGAGGCGCCACTGTCAACAATCCATTGGGCATCCGAGGTGCTACGGCTTCCATTAGAAACCGTGACATGCGCGGCAGGGCAGTCATGATGAGGAGGAGCAATTGTGACATTATTATCCTTTAGAAACCGCTGAAGTTTCCGGCAAAACTTAGTGTCATGACTCGCCAGATCACAAAACCGGCAGTAGCGTCCAGAAGTGGGGTTTATGGTACCCCGACCACGCATACCACCACGGCCACCACGTCCAAAAGAACTTCCACGATCACCACCACGCATGCGATGTGCGTGATTTGCCGTAGGGACAAGATCGGACGCAGCAGATGCGCGATTGAGAATTTCACGCTCACAATCCTTCAAAATAGTGGTGAGTTCATCGATAGAAATATCAGTGTTACACCCCCGTAATGACTGATAAAGAGCTGAATAGTCTTCTCCAAGCTGAGACATGATGTGAACCGAGAGATCCTCATCTGTGACCGGGCTGCCGGCAAGGGCAAGGTCAGACGCAATGGTTGTCATGTCCGCAACGAAGGCATCGATGGTGCGATTCCCACGAGGATTCTTTGCTAATTGGGACTTGAGAGAGATAATACGCCCGCGAGACATATTAGCAAGGTTTTTGGCCAAGCGAGACCAGGCATCCGCGGAGGTGTCCGCGAGAGAGATCAACGGTTGAACGATGTCGCATCCTGACGATACCAAAGAGTATACGCAGGGTTGGGCTGTTTGTGAGCGGCATCGAGAAAGGGAGATGGAGCTTTAAGTGAACCATCCACATAGGCAAAAAGGCCAAGACCAACGAGAGTGGTTTCAACCTGACGGCGCCACACGAGATAATTGGTCTTGGTTAATTTGATGGGAAAATGCTTGGAGGCAGACATGC